GTACATTCAATACTCTTCTCCAGCACCAGAGCTCAAAGATGTCAATTCTCCTTCTATCCTCCCTAGTCATTGTCCAACTCTCTGATGCATAACAAGTGATGGTTAGTGATGTTGATTAATGCTGATGGTACTGGACGTGGTGTTAGTGTTGGTGGAAGTTGACAGTGATAGTAGTGTTATGCTACGGTGGAGAAGGAAACAACTACTACTGTTGTGAGATGTGTCAGGTAGTTCTGCCTCACAGCTATCCAATTCACAATAAAATTAAACACTGTCAAGTGTTGCACCAATTTTACAATCGTTGCTGTGCTTATAAGACTCACTGTTATTCTCCCAATCAACCTCATGGAGGATCTTCCTCTAAACAAACCCCCTATCTGGGAGCTTTGATGACCTAGTAAGTAAGGAGTCATGTTGCCAATGCAAAGGCAAGTGGTTCAAATCTACCTGCTCTACAGGAGAAACTGGGTTCTAACTTAATGGCATAAGGACTTTTAATTTTCTACTTTATCATTCATGATGTCTTTTTCCATGGACTGACACTTCCAGACAACATGCCCAAGGAAAGAACTGAGAACAGTGTTGGCAAAGAACAATGACTTTGGACTGCTAAAATAGCAAATAAATCTGTCTTGAGAGAAGTGCAGCCAAAATGCTCCTTAGAAGTTGGGATGGTGAGACTTTGTCTCACATACTTTGGGTGTGTTATCAGGAAGCAACTAGTGAACTGGTAGCTAAGCAGAGGCCACACCATCCCTTGTCCTAGAGGACAGTCTGCTCCCTTCACAATCAATGACCTGTGCTCTGGATTACTCCAAGAGACTCAGATTTACGTGTAGACAGTACTTTCAGACATTGTTAAATCACACATAGTCTTAAGACTCATGAAAATGTTTTGCAAATACTTGTTATTTGTGTGTCTGCCTAAAAAAAGATCCTATGCAGATAACTGCATGTTAAAAGAGACTGATCAGGGAGGGAGGAAAAAAAAAAAAGAGACTGATCAGCTAAATAGCTTAGTAATGCTCAGTAATCAAAGAAAAAAATGATATATTTGATTCAAAAGCACATTTTAATCAGCTTCTAGAAAGGTCAACAAGTTGAATTTTGGGTGTTAATCTCCTGGACCAGAGATGAGTTATACTTTTTTCCCTAGACGAGAGTAATTAAGAAAACAGAGGCTCTTGGTCACATTATCCGAGAGCTCATCAGGGACCTGGTATTTAATAAGTATCTCCAACTGAAGGAGAAACTCAGGACAGATAATTTAAAAAAACAATGGTGTGATGAAAATAAACGCATTGCTGTTGAGTTACAACTGATTCTAAGCTGAACCTCCAATGGATTTTCTAAGACTGTAAATTGCAGAGGAAACCCCCCTCCTGACATGTTTCTAAATACAACTCTCACTATATGATTCAATTATTTTGATTCCATTTTTCACATTATGCCACCACTGTCACTTTTTTCTCCAAAATATTTCCCCACCATTAACATGAGCTGCTCTTCCGGAATTCCCCTGCCTCTGAAAACCCTCCAGAGCGTCAGCTATGGGTCAGCTCTGACTCTACGATACACAACATCATACGCTCACAGCTCCTGAAATAAAAATCCCTCTTTTCTTCCTTATTGCCTTAAAACTTGTAGCCGGTAATAATCTTTATTTCTATATATTTGCTTATTTCATATAAGTGATTATGGACTATTTATCATTTTGTGACTAGTTTGTTTCACTCAGTATGATGCTTTCAAGATCCACCCACATTGTAGTATGCACCAGAATTTGATTTTGCATTATTGCTGAGTGTATTATTTCATTGTGTGTGTACGCCACATTTTGTTTCTTTGTTCATCTGTTCCCAGATATTTCTGTTGCTTCCACCTTTTGCCTGTTGTGAAGTGTTATATAATGAACAGCAATGTAAAGATTTCTTCACGGTACAGAACTAGATTTATGATTGCTGGTTCAGGTGGTAATTCTATGTTCAACTTTTTTGTGTATATATATGTGTGTGTGTATCTATATATACATATATATAGATACACACACACATATATATATACATATAGGTGTGTGTGTATATATATATGTGTATACATACACACATATGCATATACATATATGTATAAATGTATATGTGTGTATATATGTGTATAGTGTTTCAGGCATTCCTCTATTCATGTCATGTTTCATAATATCATCCCCATATATTATCTGCTATAAAATTAATAATCATGTATCTAAATAGTTTTTTACAAATATAGCACCATTTTGCAGCCCCACATGAGATGAATTTGCCAGCTTCTCTACAACCTCACATTGCTTTCCTTTTAATAATAGCCATTTTAATGGGGGTTAGGGATTATCTCATTGAGATTTAAATTTGGATCACTCTAAAGAGTTATGCATAGTCAATAGCAGATAAAATCCCAATAAAAATTACATTATTCCTCTAATACCTGGTGTGGATTACCACATTAATGTGTGACAGAGGAAACGTACCTTTAGGAACTCTTGGTAAGAAAAATACACATGAAATATTGATGACTCAAGACATGTTACAACAGAATTGAAAATTTGATCAGTAAAATTCAGTAGGGCAGAAAGAGGCATAAATGCCATTAACCATCAGCATCAGTGATAATATCAGACACATTGAAAAATTTGACAGTGTGAAACCAACCAGCTGAGTGATGTTGAAACTCCACTAACAATTATAAATGTCAAATTAAACCATAGTATTTCGATGATACTTATTTCTGTGTTCACGTATGAACAAATTCTAAACTTCCTGGGAGACTGTTATTATATAGCATTGAGTCAGAACTGACTCATAACTGACTTTCCAGTAGATTTTCATAGTCTTTAGATCATACAGGTGGTTTGCCTTTCTTTCTCCTCCAGAGCAGCTGGTGGATTCGAACCACATTCCTTTTTACCAATACACTACCAGAGCTCTTTGAAGAGTAATTGTTACTGATAGGTGCTGTCAAGTCAATGATGACTCATAGCAACTTTATGGACAACAGATCTCAACCTTGCTCTACCCTGTGTCATCTTCACTATCTCTGAAATACTCAAACCCATTGTTGCAGTTAGTGTGTCAACCCACCTCCCTGAGGGACTTCCTCTCTCTCACCGACCTGCCACCTTTCCAAGCATGACGTCCTTTTCCAAGGGCTCACCTTTCCTAACAGCATCCACAGTATGTGAGAACCTTTGCTGCCCTCATCTCCAAGAAGCATCTGGTTTCACTTTCTCTAAGATATATTTGTTTCTTCTTTTGACAGTCCGTGTGATGGATAATCTGTACTCTTCTCCAATACCACAACTCAAAGGCATTGATGCTTCTTCTGTCGTCCTTATTCATTATCCAATTTTCAGATGCACAGCAACTAGTTGGAAAAAGAAAACAAACCACAAAAAACCAAAAACACCACCATGGCTTGAATCAGGTGCACCTTAGTCCTCAAACTGACATCATTGCTCCTTAGAGTTGGAAAGGTTCTTGACAGCAGATTTTTCCCAGTGCAGATTGTTTTCTAGGGAGTTGCTGAGATCCTGCCACTAGTCATGTTCTTCTTGGCTTGTTTGAAATCCCGACTATCATGTATCTCTGTATTTAGCTCCATGGAGGCTCAGAGCAGCCCTGTCTCACACACATCTCTCTTGGTACTGAGGACCTACTCTCTCACCAAGCCAAACAGGGTATTTCCACCCCCAGCCCCTGCCTTAATACATGGGTAAGTGCTCAGCTGCTAACAGAGTCCACC